GTATATCTCTTCATATATTTGTAAATCTCAGTTAGCTGGTGAGTTTTTGTGTAATCTTCTTTTTCCTTTTGGCAGTGAGCAGAATCCTACATGAAAACAAATCATGAAACAATTTACGTCTTTATTTAATGTATTGAGAGCAATTATGAATTATTATACTTAAAAAGAGAAGGATTTGAATGAAGTTCAATCTAATCTCTCATTAAGAAGAAATTTATAATAAAAAACTCAAGTCATTGCTTCTTTTTTTTTTTTTTAGATGGTGCTTGGTATAAGGTCATCATGAAGATTTGGTTTAAGCATTCGTTGATCTTAATGTCCGTGATACTAGATTATCAAGAGTAATGAAATCATCGAGAATGATCAAGTTATTGTCTTTTAAAATTATTTAATTCTCATATAAAAAAATTGAAAACTTTTATAATAATGATAAAATGATATTTAAAATTTATAGATTTGATTTGACCATAACAAAATCTCCTATATAAAAAAACAAAAATTAAACAACTAGATTCAAGTATGTGCGATACATAGATAATAATTTTAATTTATAATAATTTTTAAATAAAGTAAAATAAAAATTTTAATACTAATAGTTGACTAATAATAACAATAGATTAGAAGTAATTACACCAAAAAGATTCTAAATAGTAATAATGTTCATTTAATCTATAAACATCTTAAAATAAAAGACAATAAAAATAAAATCAATAAGAATTTTGATTGGGAGATGATTATGCATACAAATATTTAAATATATGAGCAGCAAATTTCTATTTTGTTTAAATTTGTAATTGAATTGTTATTTATATTTTTTTTGAGCTAATAATTATAAATTTTTAACAAATTCAAGACGAAATTTATAATATCATTGAAAATCAAATATTATCAAGTAAATCAATTTGGATATATGATAATCAAAAGACATCTTATATTAAATTAGACTATCACATGTAAAAAGATAAATCAACATTAAAATTAAATAATTTTTTAATATATATATATATATATTACTATTTAAAAATTAGAGCATTATTTATTAGAAAAACATCAGCTTGTTTTATTTTAAAAAATGTTATATTTATAATTTTGAAAAAATTATTTTTTAATGATAAAATATATTGTTAGTATTCTTATAAAAATTAAACTTATGAGCCTTAATAGATAAACCTAATAATTTAATTACACAGGCTTAACTCTTTTTAATGACCTTATATTCCAATATATTAAAGGTAATAAAAGTTCATATTTGGATTTAACTTTTCTTAAATAAAAATGATACTATATATTTTTTAAAATTACAAGATATTCAACTCGCTCTAAATGTTTTAAAAAAATTTTCACACCCTAAAAATGTTATTAAAAAAAATAATATTGTAAAATGTTGAATGAAAAATTATATTTTTGAATTATTTGGTGAAAATGACTATAATACTTTTCTTATTATACGTATCAAAAAATTGAAATTAAAGAACTACTTCTATCAATTTTCATTTACTTAGAATAGTAATTAGCTTACCTTCAAGTTAAATCATGAAAAGTGATAATATCAAATGGCAAACAAAAAAAAAAAAAAAATATCACTAAGAAAAAAAATATATCAATTCACTTCATACAAAAAATAAAAAATAAAAATATATATTTGATGCATATGATAAGATAGGTGATAAGTGATTACTTGTTTATAATTTATTACCTAGCTTGCTCTTTTATTCATAATAAAGTATAATGGGAATTTGGTATACAAATTGATATTATAACAAAAACTAAAAAAAAGGTATAAAAATATATACAAATATATGTATAATTTAAACTATAATAAAATTAATAGTAATAGCCAAAACTTAAAAAGAAATCCAAAACATTAAATTTTCAAGAAACTTTGCTTAATTTTAAAATTTCTTTTTAAAATGATCCTTTTTTCAAAAAAAATAAATTATTATACAATTATGATGAAGAATTAATTTAAAAGATCTTAACACAAAAGAAAAAAATAAAAGCAGTACCTAAAATAATACAAAACCAAACATAAAACAATTTGTATATCTAATCCATCTATATATATCATCACAAACAAAAAGAAAGAAAACCTAAGTTAGGTTTACTATAGGCCAAAGGATATCAAGACAATAGGAAAAAATATTGTAGGGATGCAATTTATTTCTCAAGCATCCCAAAACAACATTATTTATAAAATAGGTCTTGAAAATAATTATAGTATGATTTGTAACTTTTGAATGTTTAATTGACTAAAATGAATTTAAGAACAAAATTAAAATCAGTAATATTATTTTAAATTAAAAGCAATTTATACTTAACAATTAAAATTCATTTTATTTGAAATTAGTATAATAATAGTAATGAAATTCATTTTATTTGATATTAGTGTAATATGGTGTTTAAAATTAGTGTAAGAAATTTAAAATTAGTGTAATAATGGTAATGGAATTAATTTTATTTGATATATTCCAAAATTAATTTTAATTGATTTGATAATCTTTTAATCATTTTAAAATTAATATATATATATATATATATATATACATACATACATATTAAACGTGTTTACATAGTTTAAAAGATGGAGTAAATAAATAAATCATAGATTAAAAAATTAGAAAGTGAATATTTTTTTACACAAATATAATTTAAGAGTTGAATATTATAATTAGAAAAAGAGAATACAAAATTATTCTATGATGATGGTAGTTAAAACTTTATTACTTCTAATATAAATTTAATTGAGAGTGATTTAAAGTAAATAATAATATAAAATAAATATAATTAATTTAATTTTTTTAAAATAATTCAAATAAAATAAAATACATGACATATGATCATTTTCAAGACTGTCTACATGTCAATGATATGGACCATCTACATTTGAAAATTTCTTTTTTGAAAATTTTGATTTTTATATATTTATATAAGATTACATTGCTTGATTAAATTAGAATATATATATATATATATATATAAAATTTTGTTACTCATTATACATTAGATAATAATTAGACATCCAATACTGTAACCTTAAGCATGTGATATTTTCAACTTGGATTCTAGTTTTTGTTTAGAATAGAAAATATGGTTGAACTGCAAATCAATTACATTAGTAATATGTATATTAATATAAAGAAATTGCATTTCAATTATTTATTTAAGATAATAATATTCTTCCACATTATTATTTTTTTCAAATCATTGCGTATTTATTATTTCTTATTATATAAAATATTTACTATTATCATTATTATTTAAATAAAAATTCAATTAAAAAAGTTATAGTATTAATTAGTAGTTATATAGTAACATACCAAAATTGAAAAAGAATTTGCATTTAACTCATTGGTTCTCTCTAATTGCAAAATTTTATATTTTAGTTATTGTCATTTAAATAAAAAATTCAATGAAAAAAGTACTATTGATTAGTGATTATCTCACAAATTTCAAGATATAAAATGAATTTAATAGAAAGAAAAAACAAAAGAAAAAAATACAAATATATTTAAATTCTTTCATAATTTAATGGAATAAAGATTTTAATTTTTTATATAATTAAATTTATATTTTACAAAAACAACGCATCATATAAAAAAATTAAAACGACAGACTTAGATTATAAATTGATTTGATCAACGACCCAAATTAAATCAGTTAATCACATTCACAATCCCACTTGTATTAGTATTGTTTCAGTAATTTTCATTTTCATTTTTAAATTTATATTATATAAAAATTAATCAAGATTTTATTTAGAAAGAAAACTATTAAGGAAAGTTTACTTTGAACTTCAAATTTTATAAGGAAATAAATAAACATCAGTCAATATTTTAATTAATAAAAATCATCAATTATAAACAAAATAGTTAATTGAATAAACAAAATAGATATATATATATATTATTTACTATTTGCATTTTTGGAATTGATATTTTATCTATAGCATTGCTTTATGAGCGTTTTTACTTAAAAAATATGAGCTTTTTCGTAATAAAAAAATTGTAACTAACGACATTTTCGAACCAACTCACCCAAAATTATGGAATATATTCTGAATATATCATATATTATTGAATAAAAAATATTTTCTCATTGTTACTATAATCAAAATATTTTGCCAGGATAATAATTCGCATAAAAAGATGCTTTACCGTTTTCCAATTGAAATCACTGAATTAATGATTTGTTGGAACATGCAATCCTTAAATTCTAACACAACCAAAACTTTATGTTACGACATTTTTTTTTATACAAAAATAATTAATTGTTAGTTCAGTAATATTATAGTCGATTTTAGAATTGAGGGTTTTGAGTTCCGTTTTTAATAATAGGCCAAAAAAAAAATTATATAAAAAAATTATTAGTAGATTTAATAATAGTCTCGTTTTAGTAAAATATAAATGAGATATTAATATTCTCAAATTATTTAGATTTTATTTAAATAAAAATTTAAATTTAATTCGATTATTATTGAGTTGAGTTTAAATAGTTTAATTTATCAATTTAGTTCAAATTTTTTAAAATCAAATACGAAAATCAATCTCATTTTTATTTAATAAATGAGTCTAGTCAAACAAATTTAAACAGTTTAATTTTTATTTAAAATCAAATTTAAATTTAAAATTTAAATTTTAATTGAGTTCAAACTGAAATTTAAGTGACAAATTACGAATCAAATTCGATTTTTTCACTATATCAATTTAATTCGATTACGAACTTAAATTTTATTTTATTATATTTTTTTGTTTTTTGGGTGGGATTATTATGTTTTTTGTAAAAAGGAAAGCATACGCCTAATACGGGTTGGAACGTGAATTGCATTACGCTTTTCAAATTAATGCAGCAAATTTATATGGCAACAAATCACCATAATCTCTGCTTCTCAGCTGTCATGACTTCTGTTATTTTCTCATTTTCTCCATTGCGGTGTGCTCCGCACGTTCCATTTACAAACAAAAAAACACTGAAAGAAGAAAAGCAGAGTGGTTGCCTGGGATATGGCAGAAGGAGGAACAACCTTAGAATACACACCAACATGGGTGGTGGCCGTTGTCTGCAGTGTCATTGTCTTCATTTCTCTTGCTGCTGAAAGAATGCTCCATTTCTTTGGGAAGGCAAGTTTCAATTCTAATTTTATTTGTGTTTCAGTCAATTTTTTTTTACTTATTGTTTCTTTTTACTCTTGATGAAGTGTTTCAATGACCCTTTGCTTTTCAGTATTTGAAGAAAAAGAATCAGAAACCTCTCTTTAAGGCCTTGCAGAAGATCAAAGAAGGTCTAGACTTTAAAATCATGTCAGATTTCATGTTCTGTACTTAATCTGTAAAGACATATGAATATGCATAAATAATTTTTTTTATGCAGAGTTGATGCTGCTGGGATTCATATCACTGCTACTGACAGTGTTTCGAGACAGTATTGCCAAGATCTGTATATCAAAGGATTTGGCTGATCGAGGGTTGCCTTGTCAGGAAAACAAAGAACTAATTACAGCACATTTTCAGACCCTTTTCTCCTTCTTTTTTCATCATGGTATTGGCCGTCGTCTTCTTGCTGAGGACTCTGATACTGCTGCATACTGTACTGCATTGGTAAATTTTACTGTTTCCCAGTTGATGATCAGTTGGCAGCTTATCGCTTTGTTAATCAAAATCCTGTAAAGATCTTCAAGGAACTTGAAATACATTCAATGGCTAGGCAAACCAGGACAATCTTGTCACTATTTTTCACAACAATTTATTCTGCATTTCCTATTAGGGTTGGATGCTGTTGATAGTTTTCTTCAATTATGATATGTTTGATTTTTAAATCCAGGGAAAAGCTCCATTGTTATCCACGACGGCATTGCATCATCTTCATATATTCATCTTCGTGCTAGCTGTTGCGCATGTGACTTTCTGTGCTCTAACCATTCTTTTTGGAAGCACTAAGGTAAGGATCACATCCTTTAACTCTGATTTGTCTGATTCTAACGCCATGTATAATATTACTTCTTTCAATTTCCTTTTCATTTTTTTTTTCATGTCTTTTATGATCTAGATCCATCAATGGAAGAGTTGGGAGGATCATGCTAAGGATATGGAATATGATCCCGAAGGAGGTAGTGATTGCTAGCACCAAAATTTAAAATATTTGAATGGCTAATTTGGATACGGATTCTGAATTTCTTTTTTTGAAATGTTCATTTATAATATATATAAAAATTATAAACAAAAATTTGAAATAATATATTGTTATATTATTACAATTGTTTATGAGAGTTCTCATATCTTGAAAAGATATAAATGCATCATTTCTAATACTATCTAATACATCCTTCTCAATATATCAATCTAAACAGTTATTCAATCAAAAACCAAATTTCATTATGACGAATTCACCAATTTTATCGACAAAAATGGTATACAGGGAAAAATTTTGAGACGTCCTTAAAATAAAATTTTTCTTCAAATTTTCTAATTTATTTATCTTTGGGGTGCCGTGAACACCCTACCTTATCACATAGACCCGCCACTGCTTTTCGAGACTGTAAATTTAACAGTCTGGTGTGTTGAGTCATTGATCTTTTCACTTTAACAAATTTTGCAGCACTGATCTGCTTCAAACTTTTAATTTTCTTTTATAGCTAACTTGCTATAAAATAAAATGCATTTTCTGACGCAAGTGTTACTTTGCAGTTGGGAAAACAAAAATCACCCAAGTCCAAGAACATGATTTTATCAGGAATCGATTCCTGGGTATTGGAAAGAATTCAGAATTACAAGCATGGGTGGTAAATTAAGTTCTTCTTGTTATGATCATCTAAAGTTCATGTTTATTTTCCACTATAAAATGTAAAATCCTAAGCAGTCAAACCTGGACAACTGGACTGTGAAAAGCAGGTGGCAACATAAACAGAAGCCAAAGAGTTTCCAATTAAAAGAAAAGTTTATCAATTGGAAATGCTGCAGATCTTTCCGTTTGAGTTATGATACTGATTATAATCTTTATTTGCTGTCTAGTATTCTTTTTGCAAGCAATTCTATGGATCTGTGACTGAATCGGATTATATCACACTAAGACTAGGCTTCATCATGGTAAGTTAATTGAATTAGTCTATTTCATTCCATTTTTAATTCATTTTTATTGTTAAAAACTTGAATGCCTATGATTTACTTCATCAACTCTATTCCATTAATTGCTGAAAATTTCTTCTCTAGACACATTGCAGGGGAAATCCAAAGTTTAATTTTCACAACTACATGATGCGTGCTCTTGAAGCCGATTTTAAGAAAGTTGTTGGGATAAGGTCAGATATGATAAACATGCTAACTTCAGTTTTCTTCAGTTTTACACAGTTTGATTCATAAGCATTTATGTCGTTGCTACCTTTGGTGTTACCAACAGTCCACGGCTATTGTTGAGTGCTTGACTCTTTGTTCCAGTGATCAGGGATCAAATCCTGATGGCCTTAAGTAGAAAAAAAAATGCTTTGACAAACGTTTCTTTATGTACTAAACTTTCATATTGCTATCAGTTTCCATCTTAATTCCTTCCAATAATCACTTAATTGCAGTTGGTATCTTTGGGCCTTTGTCACCATTTTCCTGTTGCTGAATTTCGTTGGTAAGTTACTGAATTTGTTACTTAAAATTTACATGAGCAGAGTATTCTTTTGCTTGCTCCTTGTTCATGATATCATTTATTCTCTTGGACACCTTCCACAATTTTTCTATGTAGCTTATGAATTTTGTGGCACACTCATCCACTGGAAGTTTTGGGCACTAAGGGCCCATTTTTGGGGTTAACTGCACCAGGGGTGCATGTGGATAGCACATGCACCCCTGGTGCAGTTGCCTTCAATTACCCTCCAGTCTGTGATTGGAAAGAGAAGGATCCTGCGAACAACTAGACTATAGGGCAATTAACTGCCTCAGTGTAAAAAGGAAAAATGTCATCATCCCCGCTGCTTTTGCATCCAAACTGTCTTAGATATATGCAGTTGCCACTCCATAGATATGAACTCTGCTGTTACCGGATTCAATTCTAATCCGATAGTGGATCAGCTAGTGAAGATTGTTAATTTTGACTCAACATCAAAGTTTGGTTCTTTTATGCAGGTTGGCATACATATTTTTGGATAGCATTCATTCCCTTCATTGTAAGTGATTCAAATAAACACTAGATTCGTTATACTGTCTTATACTAAATTAAGTACTTTTTGTTCTAATTCTTCTCCCTCTTTGCATATGGTTAATCAGTTCAACTTCTTCCATGTTCAATCAGATAGGTTAGAGAAGGTATTTAGCATTTGACAATAAGGTTTTCCTTTTGGCAGCTTTTACTTGCTGTTGGCACCAAGTTGGAGCATATAATCACACAATTGGCCCAAGAGGTAGCTGAGAGACATATAGCTGTCGAAGGGGAATTGGTAGTTCAACCTTCGGATAACCATTTCTGGTTCAACAGTCCCCGGCTCGTTCTCCGTCTGATTCACATCATCCTATTCCAAAATTCTTTTGAAATGGCATTTTTTGCCTGGATATGGGTAAAAGACACTGTCCCAACGTTATCAAATCTCGTTTTTCATATTCTGTAACACATTCATGTGTTCCCCTAACCTGAGAAGATGTCTGAAACCATTTGGGGCAAGAATTTAATCCTGCCCTTATGTAAATAACAACTTCCAATTGATCATTTTGATTCTTCCATTTATAACAGGTGCAGTACGGCTTCAACTCATGCATGATGGGGCAAGTTCGTTTTATCATCCCCAGGCTAGTTATAGGGTATGAAGAGAACAAAGAATTCTTTTCTTCTGTCTTGCCATGTTCAAGTACTTACGTAAATTATATTTGGTCATTATTAGGGTGTTTGTTCAGTTCGTGTGTAGTTACAGTACCCTGCCGCTATATGCATTTGTCACACAGGTAAAATGAACTGCAAACAAAACTGAATCTATTTTCTTTTCTGATTTCTATTATACTTTCTGAATGCTTTGTTATTTGTTGTTTCAAAGATGGGAAGTTCATATACGGAGGCCATTTTCGAGGAACATATTCGCGAAGGGCTTGTTGGTTGGGCTAGGAAGGCAAAAAAGAACAATAAGGGCAATGCTTTCAAAAGATCTGCCAATGGCTTCGGTCAAGTTGGTCGGAAAGAGGAGTCTCCTCTGGTACTTGAGATGGCAATGGTAGATGAAAAGGAATCTGCTGTATGGGATGATAGAACTATAGAGATTGAATCAAAACTGTAATATAGAAAATTGACATTTTGAGCTCACAGTAGCATTTATTACAAGCTGCAGCCATTAGGGGATACAGTCAAATGAAGACAAGTTGTATGTACTCTCCTCGAATAATCATATTACTGACATAGCATCATATGATAATTCTTTTTGGGTTTTGAATTGTTTTAACAACCCTTTAGTCACATGTCCAAAATTCAGAATCAAAATGGGCAGGAACATGAGCAAATTGACAGTTCGTTCAGGATTAAGGACAAAATCATCTGTCTTTTGATTTGATAGGGACTCCTTTGTACATTTGTACACGATCCTTCAACACGTCTCGCCTAGGGCGTGCTACCTTATTATTAGGATCGAAAAGTAACACTTCTTCAAATGCTTTGAGTGCAGACTTATAGTCTTTCTTCTTCTCATATGCATCGCCAAGATTGTTCCAGGCAGTGACATATCCTGGTTGAAGCTTCACAGCAGTTTCAAACTGATTGATTCCCTTCTCAAGCTTCCCATCCCGGACATAACTGACACCAAGGGCATTGTAAACCTGTGCAATGATTAGCAAATAAACAGTCCTCCCAATCAAGATGAACATATATATATATATATATATATCTGTATAAAAGAAAGTCCCCCATCAAGATAACCCAAAAAAGGACTTTGTATGCTAATTTATGTATTCATTACTTTTGCCTACTCTACCACATACAAAACTTTCCTTTAGAACACATGCTTCAGAGAAGCCACACCAACAATAGATGCTGTTCAAGATTGCTACTCATCACCAATGCACAAAAGATAAAAAAGAGTGACAAATGAATAACTGGACTGATGAACATCAAGTGTAAAAAATTAAAGTGAAAATTCAACAGAACAAAATTAACCAATGCATAGGCTAGAAGTTTTTATCCATCCAGTTGAGGGTCAAAATCTATGATTTAACTCATATGTACCAAAAACCAAGCGCCAGACTAACGGTCCCACATTGATAATGCAGTTTCAAGACTGTACACGTTAGTTCTTTGTTTTTGTAAATCAGATTCAACTTGATTTATAACTAGCACAACTAAGTAGTTCAATATTATTAACAAGAGGTCCAAAATAGCGAGGCACTTTAATTAGCCAACACCATTTCTGTTACAGAAGGCAATTCAAACTGAATTTTGCTCCTAGTGACAGTAGGATCAATTTTAGGAGTATATCCAGAAAGCTTCAGTGTGACAGAAAAGTGGCCACCATTTATCATTTTGTTTCTTAAATAGCTCATACCAGGTAATTTTAGAATTAGACAGCTTCATGTCCTGTTAGATTCTGGTTCCTCTCAGTAATGTTCACTGGAGTTGAGCCTTAGTCATGTCAAGGTTGAAATTACCATATTTTTGTAAAATTTTTTTATGACAAATGTGACCTAATTCAAGTGGTTGCACAACAACGAAAAAAAGGCCGAAAATCAAGGTTGTTGTCCAGGCAATAATATTTATGATGGTTCATACTTAAACACAGAATAAAACAGAATAGCTAATGCTGAGCCAAATGATTAAAGTTAATAGTTTTGGCCGGAATTTTCTCCCTTTTTCTCTTGTAAAACGAAAAACTAGATCTATATGGAACATTTTGTAACCTTATAACAGATAATGCTGTTATTCCACAAGAATCTGAGTTCAGATTATGAACAAGAATCGCAAGCAGTATGGAGAAATCTTATATATGATCTGTGTGGCTAAAGGCTGTAATTTTTTAGGTTCTACAAGATAAGTTAAAACCGAGAAGCAGACAAAGTGCTCTGCTTATTGCATGATTTATGACTCAAAAGAAGAAGGGTACATCATTGATAATGATGATTTCATGTTAATGGCTGATAATATTTCAAGGCAATTATCCAAATGACTCACCCATCATGCAACTTATCACTGCACTTTTAGCAAACTTGAATGTGATGCTTGAAAGCAGTAATGTTCATATGAAAATGATTGACATAATCGATTGTAACAGCAAGACAGGACATGCATATCGCATTCTATAAAGTACAATTTACATATTAAAAACAAATGGTTCTGCTTGTAAGATATGGAAGATCCAACAGATATCATACCTGCGCAAGATCTTGATCATCACCGTCCCATTTTTCAATTGCCTGAAGCAAAAATTTAGTAGCAGCTGGGTAAAATTTCCTTCTCAACATAACAGCACCTAGCTCAAAAAGCTCAGTTGCACTGGCATCTCCACTTCTTACTTGCTCCTGAAATCAAAATAATCATAGCAAAGAACAATGTAAGCACAAAGGACCAGTCGACATTCACTGTAAAGCTAAGAACAAAGAGTCAAAAGTCTTCTCTATTTTGCTTGTAGTTTTTGTTGTAATATCTTGAAAAGTCCTCATTAAACTATTAGAAATGTCAAACTTAAATAAACATAATTGCAGAGCAATTTAAATTAGCATTCTTTTGCACAGGAAAAAAGACTCTTACCTGCAATTCTTTGGCAGAAAGGTCAAGTTCTCTGCGTACAAGGACTTGACGGATCACAAAGAAGGTTCCAACCCCGAGCAAACCTAGTAGTAAAAGCAGATAAGATAGCTGGATTCCCAACTCAAATAACTCTCCAATCTCATAAACGGCATCTCCACTAGTAATTTCACTTGCATTTGCTAGTTGTGCAGAAATCAACCACAAGGCTTGTCCAAAGAGGAAAGCAGACACTACAACTAATGGCTTCTTCACATTTAAGTCTTCTACCATAGCCAGAAGGTTCCTCAAGGATTCTACAACAAAATGATGACATCAATATTTAAATTTACGTAATTATGGTAGAATCTTAGCATATAGAATGTATAAAGAAAAAAATATGTCTCCCAGTGTTGACTTAAGTCCTTTCTTGGCCAAAAAAATTAAACAAGTAAATATGACAGATATATCATGCACTAGAAATTAGTTTGTGCAACATAATACCACTTAAGTTTACAAGTGTAATACATGTTACCACTATGAAAAGGCGTATCAATCATTCCAGTAAAGTCAATTGTCTGCAAAAATGTTACAGATTACAACTAGCACAAAGTCAATGTCCCCAATCTACAGGCTAGTCATTATATTCTTTGTCCTTCAAGTTACGCTTAAAGTATCCTAGTGTCCAAAAATGCTCAAAAGTTCTTCTTGTACTGATGATAAGCAACCAAACAACCTTTATACTAAAAAGGGCAACAAAGAGAAAGGAAATTACCATCAAAGTGTGTTGCGGTAAAAGATTTTGTTGCCATTCCCTTTTGAAACATCTGCCTTTATCCACAATCAATTAAAAATGGAAAAAGAAAAATAATAAGCCATATTATATCTACCTCCATTCACTAAAATAAAATCTGATTAAAAATTTAAACATGAACTTTTCATATGTAGCAAAAAAATAATTTTAGATAGACACAACAGTGTGATATTGAGTAGGTATATATCAACAGAAATCCATCATGAAACATATAATAACATTCCCAGGAAATCAGAGTAGGCATGGAAGAAAACTGAAGATAGGGAATTGGCCAAGCCACATAGAAAAATTACACTCCCTTTTTGGTGTTTATGCCATGGCAGAGTTTAGGCCAAGCCTTTTAAACAACAACTACATGAAACCATTTAACTTCGCTTCTTTTAGTTCCAAGTATATCATATAATACATATGATTATTGATAGCACCAACTCCAATATCACAGATTAAGGGCTAAAACTTTCAGAACACACTTCTTTCAGTCTCAGAAACAGCATATTCCATCTAGAATTCTCATGATATCCCCACCTCTCCACCACCACTACACATTGGCACAAGCTATTGGCCATTGAATTGCTGCATGGGGCAACAAAAACTTTGAATCCTTAACACAAATTTTGATCTCAAGGCAATAGATTAACATAACTTGATTTTTTGAAACTTCAAGTCAAAAATTAGTTAGTTAAAGAGAAATCCTAAATTCTTCTAGTTTAACCCTTAAATAAAGTATCAGAAACTAGAGCTAATATTTAATGAGGACTGAATGCAAAATTTTAACAATGTTTGACAAAAACTTGAACATTCTTCTTGCAATAAAAATAGGGATGAACACTCATCATTCCTGCTCACCAGCCTTAATCATCCCAACACTCATCATAATGCTGGTTGCTGGGAATTATGCATTTCTAAAATAATTTTGGAATAAAGATAATTATGACCTATACATGCGGAGTGGAGTACAATTTATCTTTCTATCAATTTTACTGCTATACTTCTCAATTTTCTTAGAAATAAAAGAGTCTACATGTATCACATAAGAGTATCAAAAATTAAGAATATGCTTACTCCTCATGATCAGTCAAGACATTTGTTTGGACCTATATATATATACGGGACATAAGCACTAAGTAAAATAGTTTGAAGGTGCTAAAGTTAAAGAAAACATGAAATAGATAAAAGAATTTCTAACCACCAAATATCAACATTTGAAGAATTTGGTAGAGTAACAAAGTTAAACTAAAATTCAACATCAATTCTTATTCAAGGGGCACATATAATTATAATAGCTTTGATTTTAAGTCACCAACTAGTTTAAATTTACACTTGTATAGCCAGTGCTGAAAAGCAAAAGAATTCTAGCTGTATAATCATTAGCTCTGTTTGGTTAGTATGGCCTTATCTAGAAGTAGAAGTTATTAAACCCAAGGTGTTGAGAAAAAATGATTATGGAATTATAATAACAAAACAATTGTATCAGTTGGATAAACACAGTAGGAATGAAGAGGAAGGGGACGACCAAGACGATAAAGAGTTAAAGCATGTAGAATGACTAAATTAAACAAAGAATATAAGATGGAAAACTTTTCTACGATTAATGTTGCAACTTTTCTTCATAAAACAAGGATTCCTTCTTAAAACCACAGAAGCACAGAGAGTACAAAACACTTACCTGTAGGTTGAGAAATGATCTAGTGTCATTCACTCCATAGCCTTTGCCTGGGCCCGAGTTTTTCAAAGCTGGTTCACGAAAACACTGAACAATGGCCTGGAACGTTAAGAGCAGCATTATCAAATGTTCTTTATAAGGCACTGAACAGAGATCGTCATATCATACCCTTATTCCACTGCTAGCCTTTGCATGAGCCAAGAACAGCCAATTTTAGTTGAAGGAAACATCATTTCAACATCTAATAAAGGGTATATTTGAATACTTAATTTAAACAAATTTTCTCTCTACTGATTAAAACTCAAAACAGCCTCCTTCTTGACCCCGTATAAGGTTCCTACAAAATGGGGTGGGCACAGACCACTCTTTGCATATACTATATCCCATCTATTTCTGCCTACTTGAACAAGGTTTGCATGCCAAGAATTTATTGAACAAGTTGAGAAGATCAAAGTAGAAACTTTGCTATGAAGGATTATAACAATAACAATAGTATAAAAAAGAGTAAAGGGTAGTGTTTTTTACCCGGAAAGGGAGCTTCTTGCGGCTGAACCTGAGAGACCCAGATGTGAGGAAAGAGTAATAATGAGGAAGTTGGGTCGCTGAGAAGCACAGATGGTGATGGTGTAAAGGTGAAGATGAGATTGTACTTTGGAGAAGCATTTTTCTTTTGTCTTCAAAACACTCACTCACTCTAAGACAGACTCAGTAGCAGCGTTTGCTAATGGTTGAAGATAAAAGTTTACCCGTCTCTTCCAGGACATCACTTAAAAAAGGGAAAAATCAGAAGATAAGGCCGCGTTTATTGTTCCCAACAGCAAAAAGCCAGCCAGCGTTTTTTTTTTTTTTAATATATAGTAAGTATTTTTTTTAATAAGTTGATTTCCTTGCAATTCAATTTTTTAAAAAAAATATTTAATATTATATAAAATTTATATAATTGTTATTGTGATTGATTAATTATAATATTATAATAAAAAATTATAAATTAACTTGATTGTAATCATTATCGGGAAAAAATTCTTTGGTGGATAAATTTGCAAGAGTCTAATTGTTAATTTCCATGATTTGACGTCTTTGTTGATAAATTATATTGGTTTTTAGATTTTTTTTTTACGCAGGGAAAGGTTCGATTGGTTCAGAGGAAACTCTACTTATGAAGGAGGCGATTATGCCATTTAGTTTTATTGACTTGGAAGACTTTTGAATTATTTGGATGGGTGATCGCTGATGGAGTAAGGTGCCTTTAATATTAAATAAGAATTAGCTTTCTCCATTAAATTCTATTCTACCTAAAATTAGATTTTAACAATTTAAATCATAATACAATAATACAATATAAATAACATAACTTAAAATTTTTGTAATAATTATATATAAATTTAATAAAATAAATATTTTTTATACTTTTATGTTAACACGAATTTATGTATACAATAAAATATAAATGCATAAATTTTAATATTTTACATAAAATAAATACATAAATCACTAAATTTACTTAAACATTGCAATATATAAGAAGACTATTTAAAGAATACTTATTTATTATGATTGTTATTTGAAATCATATTTTTATTCTAAACGTGGGAAATCATTCTATAAAAATATCGTGAAACAATAATAAAATATTTAATATGATATTTAAATTTAAAAAATTTTTAATATAATATCTCAACTAATATGCTAAATTGTTCAGACTCATTCCCATTGACACAAAATGCAGTTTCAAAAGTGTTTTATTTCTTGTCTCTGAGTAGCAATGCAAGGAACACAAATGACAATTAAGCATAAGAGGGAGAAATCATTTGGATGAAGTGCTCTTTTCTAGGTTAACACTCACTGGGAATGAAACCAAAATTGAGAAGGCAAGGGATTCTATTATACATAACAGACTTAAAAGCTGTACTGATCCAAGAAATCCAGCATTGCATGTATAGCATTCCACAACCACATATGAAATATAAATAATTTGGGTTGAACAAATGCCTGATTCTAAATTTCCTCAGCAGCAACTGCTGCATTCTACACATTGTTCCAATCTTTGAATGACTAAATTGAAACTTGTTAAATACTAATTCAGTCACTGCAGCAGTTATCCTTCGTTTCTGGTTGAAATCATCTGCACTGCACAAAGCTTCCTGCATTACAAGTATCAGATGTATCCTACTTGCAAATAGATAGACGGATCGGTAGTACATAAAGGATGAGTATTTCTACCTTTAATGCTAGTATTCAATTTGTTCTCAGTTCAAACAAAGCTGCTCCAGCTCTCTGATGGAAGTGTCAGTGGCCTTGAGCTGTGTCAATTTACACTCACCAAAATCTTGCTTTTCAAGCTTATTATTCCTCATCTGTGGATATCTAAACATATTAAACATTAAGCTTCAAACTTCAGTTTCTTAGTTTATTATTTTTATGCTCAATCTTTAGCCATATCTTCTGGTAAAAGCAGCAATTTTTGAAGCATTTAAGGTGTATTTAACTATCTCAGGCCAAAACAAGAACAGAAAATGTAACAAAGTTACGCAGATCAGCAATTTTCTGGGCTCGATCTATATACCATAACAGATATAGAAGCAACCATCAATAGTTAGTTTCAGAGATAACAGAGCATTTGAAAAGTAAATAATTTGAATCATGAGTTCATGATTTTGAAGGCAACAAACGGATTCTAGAAGGTTAGGAATGGTCCAAGAATGTACACTATACATTATAGAAGTCATTTAATTTTTAGATTAAATCAGTTTTCTATTTGATCATCTAAATGTTGGAACCTTACCTGCTCTAAGGGCTTAACCATTTGACAAACTAGATCTACATTCACTAGTAGGCTTATCAGTATTTTCCAACAATCTGAAGAAGTTAGATAAAACAGTTGAATCATTGCATACGTCCCTTTCAACCAACCATTCTTCTTGAAGATGAACATCAACGTCCCTGTATAATAAGTAGGGTGAACTATGGAAATTGAGAACCACAAACAATTCAAGAACAACAAAGCTTTAAGGAGACTCTGAACAAGAAACCATGGTGCTCAAGGGAGGAAACAAATTACCTTCTCAAGGCTAGAACTTCATAATTCCTCCGCAGATAATCTGCATGCTTTGTGAGGGCCTCTTGTGCATACTGTCTGCCAACAGTTCTCACTGCTGCTGCATTTAGTAAGTTATCCAGTGAGCCATGTTTTTTTAAAAGCTTTAAGGCAGTTTTCCGGCCAAATCCAGGAACCAAATGTTGAATCCCAGGAACACCATCAGCCTCATCACCCATGATGCATCCTACAAGATAACTTAATCATTACTTGTGCACATCATCCAAAAGTGGTCTAGAGCATGAGGGGAAAATGAGGGCAAGCAATATTAAGGAACATTCATTTACCAAAAACCAAAAATTAAGCATTGGAGAGCAGTATATTCTAATCACACAAGTCACTAGCAGAATATCCCCTCGGAACTTTCTTTTGGAACCATTAAAGAACCCGTATGAACTAAGTACTATCTTTTTTTTACTTTTATATTGAATGGAACTTCCGTTTTTAAGGCTCAATTCTAAAAATGGGATTTATTATAAACCAAAAAAAGACATTAAAGAAAATCAAAATATTGGTTATTAATTTAAATTTGCTGCTGCATATGCAACACAACTAACAACACATAAATCAATCCCCTATGTGTAATATACTGCCAGTTGGTTTAACTAGATTGGAATCCATTCTTCTCAAATTAGAAAGATTTAAAATGAAATCAAAGCTAGAAAATAATGAGCTCACAGAACACTGTGTTCAAATAGAGAACCAGAATTTATAAGTCTGTAACGTAGGAGAAAGAACCAGCTTCTTTCAGCTCTTAGCTCTTACATTACACCAAACCAGGCACCATCCTTTCAGAATTCATGAAAGGAGCTCTTTTAGAACTAAGAAGCTGAATTGAAATGGCTTACTAGCAACAACTCTCCGTTACACCTCTACACTAGATATTCTCTTAATAAGTGTCCCTCAAAGAGAAAATGAAAAAAAAAAAAAAAATAGAGCACGTGGGTCTCTACAGAGTATTATCACTTGGGCATCATGCTGTTTTAAAAAGAAGAAAAGGTACTTCCAACGAAGAATTGTTTTCACCACAATATTGTGCAGAATTGCTAATAAACTATAGCACTGAAAATAATTCATCAATAAACATACAAATATGTTTGAAATTACATCAACAATTTGATAATTGCAGTCTTACTATCTCCAAAAAGAAAAGGCATTGCATACTTACTAAGGCTCAAGTCCAAGTGTGGATCACAATTATATTGAGCTATGTAGTGCTTTAAAGTATAAAAGGACCAGCGGTCTAACTCCACCAGAGGCATAACAATTTGAACATTTTCAGAAATCAACTGCTTAAAATCCTTATCAGGAGAAGCGATAACCACTCGATATCCTCTTTGTAGAACTTGTTCCACCAGTGTGGCCACAACATCATCAGCTTCATTTCCTTCAAGTTTTATGACCTGCATGAATTAGGTTCTCACTAATGAAACCAATAAAAAAAAAAAAATGGATCCACCAACAATTTAGTATCAATGATCCATCTGCATAATGGTGTAAGAACTAGGACATTTAGGAATATGGTGGCATTTGGATTGAAGTCATAAGATGCCACCTTCTTGTCAACAAATAGGTATAATTCTCTTGTAAAAAATATCTATTTGGAACCTCAACAATTATTTGAATTAAGCTAGTTACTAATCTCCTTGGCCATCTAGTCAATGAAAGGCTTCATCCTTATAGTCGCGAAGTAATGTTATAGTAAAGACAAGCTAATTTTGCAATTTGCATAACATTGATTCTATAGAACCGAAACGGATGGTGCTGGCAACCAAAACACCACCATCATAAGCTAGTACATTCTTTCATATTACTCTTCTTATCTAAGCTTCTTAACTTTTCAGAATGAAATAAATCACTTACTGGCACATTGCATTTTTTGAGAACATCGATAATGAGTTGCTTTGAACTCCCAACTTGACTCCTGACAAATTTTCTACAAGTTGTTGGTTGTCCAAAGAATTTCCTCCTATGTGCTTTATATGAAGGTAATAACTGTCTCCTCTGCTCATTACACTTTTCACCATCAAAAACCTGCCAAAAAAGAAAACATTAAGAAGGTCTAATTGCAACCAAATAATTGCATCTGCAAACATAAGACTCTGTTTGATTGTTGCTTTCGCTACTTGCTTTGGACATTTACTCATTGATTCTACAAAAGTTGTTAAAAAAAAAAAACGCAAACAGTAAAAAGCTTACGGCAATAACAGGCTCGGTGAGGCTGACTTGAGAGAAGAAAAGAGAAACCCAGTGACCGAAAAACTGTAAGCTTGGCTTACTTCCTGCATAACAAAGCGGATTAACGTCCAAGAAGAATACCCTTTTCTTGTTTTTGCTTGCATCATTATATTTTTCAAGACATTTTCTTTCAGGCAAAACTTGTCCACCAACTGTTCGGTTAAAAGACCCAAAGACCAAGGACGACGACGAAGAAGAATCAGAAGCAACGACGACTCTAATCTTCCATGTTTTTGTTCTTGGTGGGATAACTTTGGTTGTCTTGCTTCTGGGTTTTTCACTTGGAATTGAAGGAAATAGGTTTGCGGGTAGACACGGTGTTAGGTGAATGCTGGCAGCCAAGGTAACTTCGACCATCTTCGCCTTAGCTCCTCGGTATCACCATTGGGACCAGTTACTCTGCCCCTTGGAATATTTTAGTCTCCGATTTTTGTTTTTTTGTTTTTTACTTAACAGTAGAAAAGATTAATTACGAAAATGGATAAGAATTATCATTCGATATTCAATTTGGAATATTTTGAGTATTTACACATGTAAAAAACCATTCCATTTGAATCTTTGAATTTCAAAAAAAAAAATAAATTTCTATCGTTTGTTGATAAATTGAGATTTAAAAGTGATAAAATCGAACCAAAAGCTTGAATGGATATGAAGCTAAACTCGAATTGATTTAAATTGACAAAAACGAAAACAATCTAAACCTATCATTATCAGAGCTTGAGATCGACTTAATCCAGAACCAGTAAAAATTTGATTTTATAATCCAAAATATCTAAATTATAATTATATAATTTAAAAAAAAATAAAATGAGCACATAAATAAATGATAAATTTTTAAAAAATAAATTTTAAAAATATTATTATTTATAATTATTATAAAATTAAATCATTAATATATTATCAAGAGAATTAGTCAATATTGAATATTTAAAATTATTATGAAATGAAACCAATTCAAACCAAGCTAAAAATTTGCTATTTACCCAAAAAAATCAAACATCAGGATACAAATAATAAATAATTTTGGGTAAAAACATAAAAAGGAAAGCTATTTGGGAAAACTGCATAAATAAAGCAAAATAGTGAAAAAAATTGCAAAAAAAATGAAAAACAAAAAACAAAAAACATTGTTAGATTGTATGCCATTCTCAGTAAAACAGGACATCAAACACTAAGCTAAACCAAAAAACCAAACACAAAACAAGAGTCATCATCAGTTTCACAGCTTAGGTTGGTTGGTTCCTCCGCCCACGCCCCCTTCTTTCTTTCGATGCTTTCGAGGAAACCCACTTTATCCCCATCACCAACATAACTCAGCTAACAACAACTACCCCAACTCCTCCAAATTCTTCTCATTTCGTCCCATTTCCTTCCTCAAAGCAAAATACCCATTTCTCTTCTTCATCAATGGCTCATGTTCTCCAAACTTCTTTCCTTCCCTCCTCTACCTCCCTTGGCCTGAATCCCATTTCGGGTTCTAAAGGGAAGTCTCAAGCGTTTCAAGTTAAGGCCAAGATCCGAGAGATTTTCATGCCGGCATTGAGCTCAACAATGACGGAAGGAAAAATCGTGTCTTGGATGAAGTCTGAAGGAGACAAGTTATCGAAAGGAGAGAGTGTGGTTGTTGTGGAATCTGACAAGGCTGACATGGATGTCGAAAGTTTCCATGAGGGGTTCCTCGCCGCCATCATGGTGGAGGAAGGCGGCGTTGCTGCCGTTGGCTCTGCCATCGCCCTCCTGGCAGAGACCGAAGACGAGATCGCTGAAGCCAAAGCCAAATCACAATCCTCTTCTGCTAGCAGTGCTCAGGTAGTAGAAGAAAAACCAAAGCCAAAGGAAGAGGTGGCGCAGGCTGCTTCGGTGGCTGCTTCTGTTGCTTCTACAGTTTCCAGCACAAAGACGGTAGCTGTGGGGTCAGCGGTGCATCCGGCTTCGGAGGGAGGGAGAAGGATAGTGGCGTCGCCATATGCCAAGAAACTGGCAAAGGAGTTGAAGGTGGATTTGGGAACAGTGGTGGGAACTGGACCCATGGGGAGGATTGTGGCTAAGGACGTTGAGGCAGCGGCGGCAGCAGGTGTGGTGGCTGCTTCTGGGCATGCATCGCAGCAGCATGCTTCTCCGGCAAAGGCAGCTCCAGTGGCTCCTGGTATTGAATTGGGGACAGTGGTTCCTTTTACTACAATGCAGGGTGCTGTGAGTCGGAATATGGTTGAGAGTTTATCTGTGCCTACTTTTAGAGTTGGCTACACCATCACCACAAATGCCCTTGATGGCTTGTACAAGAAGGTAAAGATGGTTTTGTTAAGGCGTTTTAAAATGATATAATTTCTCTTTTTATAAACTGATGATGCCATTAATAGTAAGAGTAAGAGAATGCATTTGATTCAAAATCGTTGAATTCTTAGAAGGTTTCAGAAGTGATTATGCTATATGAAAGAAGATGATGTTTTTGACCTTTGTTAAATTTTCAGGCATTTTAAGGAAGCTTGATGCCTATCAAGAAACTAACTTTTCTTTTAAAGATGGTCAATCTATTGTCATAATTACACATTTTAAATGGTTTACCTTGGCATCTTTTGTTACAATTGGCCTATAGGCAAAAATATGTTAGTGTTCTAAAATAGTCCTTATAAGGTAGATGGATGGTACTGTTATATTGTAATTGTTGACTTGTTTCCTTTTCGTTTATTTGTGAATATTGGTTGATATAGTTGTATTTATATTTGTTTAGATCAAGTCCAAAGGCGTAACAATGACAGCATTGCTTGCAAAGGCAACGGCACTTGCATTGATTCAACATCCTGTAGTTAATTCCTCCTGTAGGGATGGCAACAGCTTTACATATAACAGTAGTGTCAATATTGCTGTTGCTGTAGCTATAGATGGTGGGTTGATTACACCAGTTCTGCAGGATGCTGATAAGGTTCTTGTTATTCTACTTTTGGCTGCCAATTATTTTATGATATGGTAGTAACAGCATTGTAAGGGCTTTATTACATTGCATTTCAGGTTGACATTTATACATTGTCAAGAAAGTGGAAAGAATTGGTTGATAAGGCACGAGCCAAGCAGCTACAACCTCATGAATATAATACAGGTATGCTATTTTGTGTCAATATTCTCATCATAAATTGAGCAAGGAGTTCTTTTAATGAAAGTTTGATGATGTACATACTAATCTTGACTGCTTCATGGACATATGCTAGGTTTGTTTTTGTGTCATACTGTTTCCGTATATTATATGTTGATTTGAAATGCTTATATTTGATGAAAGTTTCAATGGGAGTAAGAAGTTTGTGTATGGTTATTGCAAGTATTTAATAAGAAGTAGAAGAATAAGCAAAAAATGTAGCGGAATCATGAGTATTACCTGGATGGTTATGCTTGTAGAAATCATGAAGAGAATGCAGAAAGTGCTTGTTCATGGGCATTTATAAACCTTTTATGCTGGGGCAATTTTATGTCTAAATAAATTAATGTAACAATCTGCCTCATGTAACTGAAAATGTTTTGAACTTTGAAACTTTAAATTTCTATTCTGTACTTCGATAAGATCTCTAGTATGGGCTAGAGGGGAAGGTTGTTGGGCCCATGGGCCATGTCAGTCCAGTTTCACTTCCAGTTGAATTTGCTTCAAGTTTTTGGGTTTCTTATGGGTGGCTAAGATTGTGCCACATCAACAGATCAAATGGCTGAAAAAGTTAGCAACAGTTACTTTCTTTTCTCATTATGGATAGCCAGAATTGCAAGGGTTCTTCGGGAAGGTGGTGTATGTCCACTAAGGGGAGAAAAAGAGAAAAAAGAAGAGCTTTAAGGAGAGAACTATTTTTGGTTGGTGGTAAGCAGTAATTTGGAGGGTGTCTTAAGTTTAGGCAAAAACTTGAGACAACAAAACAGTATCTTTTGCTTGATTGTGGATTTGTTGCCGGTTTATCCCATTGTTTTCTTCCTCAACACCGGAGGGTTTTCAACATAAATTTGTTGTAGTTTCTCTATTATTTATTTTTCTTAATGCTCAATTGATTTATTGCTTGTCGCTTGGTATCTGATATTTTGTTTGGTTTTTGTTACTTAGCTACTCGATTATTTTGAAGGTATCCTGTTGGTTAGACTTGTATCCTATATGATATAAGTACCAAATATAACCCTAATCTGAAAATTTTCAGCTGAGTCCATTAAATTATGTAAAATTAATAAAGTTAGTTGCCTTCTGCTATAAGCATGATATCATCCGGTATCACAAAATAAAAAATGGCAGGACAAATCCTAAGCATGCTAATGTGGTATGACTGGCAATTCTTTTCTAGTTATCCTTATATTGACTGATTAGTTTTACAAATAATATTGGTAAGTTGTAAGATGCAGCTTGTCATAAACAATTGGAAATTTTCTTTTGTTGACTTTTGGTTGATAGGCTATTGTTGCTGAAAATTTTGCTTTTTGGTTTCTTCTAAATTTGTGATTAATATATGGTTTCGGCACTAATATCCTTTCAACATGACTGAGTCCTTTTCTTTATAAGATTTTTGTTTTTATTTGCTTGTTGATGTTGATGTTGTTTTCTCCTTTTGCAGGTACTTTCACTCTGTCTAACCTTGGGATGTTTGGAGTGGACCGGTTTGATGCCATTCTGCCACCTGGAACTGTAAGTATTGTTGCTCAATTATAATAGTTTCTCATTTGTGGTATGCTCGGCTAGATTGAACTTCATACTAGCAACTCTGTGTATATTAATCATGTGAGTGTTTTTATGCAGGGAGCTATTATGGCTGTGGGAGCTTCTCAGCTTACTGTTGTGGCCAGCAAGGATGGCCATATTGGCATGAAGAACCAGATGCAGGTAATTAAGATTTTTCACTTTTAATGATTAGCTGCCATGATGTATTTGTTCCTAACGAAAATGGAGAAAAACCCATCTTTGTTCTGTACTTTTATGGGATGACTATGCTTGAATAGCCAGCATTAGAACAAAAGCACTTTTGAACTTTAAACTTCAAACTTTTACAGGTAAATGTTACAGCAGATCACCGAATCATCTATGGTGCCGATCTAGCTGCATTCTTGCAAACCCTGGCTAAGATTATTGAGGACCCCAAAGATCTCACCTTCTAGTCTACTGTCTCTTTCACACAATGATGTCCTCATGGCCATATTCTTGTCAGACAATTGTCTCGTAGCATGCTCTCAAGGTTCATGTTTTTCAAATCGCTTATTTTTTATCTTGGAATATACTTTAGATACAAAATGTAGGGGTCTATAATAATATGTTTTGAGTTTTCAGTGGACAACAACACTGAGAATTTCCCAGATCAATGGTTATTTCAACTTTTCCAGGTTCTGTTTTCTTTAGTTCAGCCTTTTTATATTACCTTGACTGTTGCCATTAACCATCATCATCATAATCATCATGTTGTCACTTAAATTTTGGCTGTTCCTGGTTGTTGTATCAATAAAGTTTCTGTTTGTTTTCAAATTTATCACTATCTTTACTATATCCTACTCATCAGTTGGAGCATATCGATTACAATTCTACAATTACAAAATCACAACAATGAATTATGTGAGAGTCTGTCACTTATTCTGTGTGACTCGGGTCATTCTGTTCAAAACAAGTTGAAATTTTGAGAAAAACGCTACTTACAATTCCTGATGTTGGCAATCTTACAAGAACAAGAAATTTGTACATGGTGCTGATTCTGAGGAACAAAGTGTTTCACTATGATACGAACTTGTTTAGAAGGCAGGTAAGCCTTCTTGGTACTCTCAAAGAAAAAAGGGAAATAAATAGAACGGAAGATTGACTTGGTGCTCCTTTTTCTTTTTGGGCAATGGCTTAAAGCTCCTTATAACTGAGTTTTACAAAGGTACAGGCAAATTACAGAACCCAAAATTTGTAAGTATATATAATATATTACATATGAGATGCAGGTTACCAATGCTGGTTTTCTTCTATCTATTGTAATTAGTATTGAACAAACTCAGTTGCGCATTAAGGTTTATAAAGCCAGACGTGGAGCCAAGTTGCGACTGATGATTTATCTTGCATTGAGGATCATCCTTAGCACACTTTTCATCTTTGGCCTTGCTTCTGGTGAAACGTTAACACAAGCAAGAGCAACTTTCAACACAGCAAGCATCTGGTTTCTGACAACTTGTGATGTTCGACTGATATTAAAATCAAGGATTTGATCCAGCTTATTTGGCCGCACTGAGTTACTTAATGCCCACTTGGCTATCTCAGTTCCCTCACTAACTGCTGGTTTTCCTGTCAGCAATTCCAGCAATATAACTCCAAAGCTATAAACATTCCCAGCCATTGTTACCCTCATTGTATAAGCATACTCTGCAAACCACCAAAAATCGAGATGAAAAGGATTAGGCCAAAACTGATATTTCAAGAGAAGTGTTGCATCTATTTTAGCTAAATCATCTGCAAATAGTAGGTTAAAAAGTTAATTGATTCACTTAAGAAATTTCTGAATGTAAGCTCATGCGTGTCAGAGTATTTACCTGGAGGAATATAACCTACAGAACCAGCGACTGTGGAAAGGCTTCCTGTGCTCTTGGAAGGATCAATTACTTTACAAAGCTCAATGTCTCCAACCTGTGGCTCCTTCAAAGACTTAAGCACGATGCTTCTGCTTGAAAGGTCAAGGAGGAGAATTGGACTTGCAGTGCATCCATGCAAAAAAGCAAGACCTTGAGCCACTCCAACAGCTATACTGTAACGACTAGCCCAATCCAAAAAATTTTTCGAGCTACCATGAAGAATATCATAGAGGGTACCCTTAGGGGCAAATTCATAGAAAACATACGCACTATCAACTGTCAATACATATGCCAAAGGTATCATGACATTTGAATTGCTTAGTTTCCCCAATACCTCTAGCTCTTGTTCAAATTTATCATGCCTGCCCAGTTGGAATATCTTGTCACTCCAGTTAAGCTTCTTGACATAATAGCTTGCTCCTGATGGCATGATAGCTTTGTAATAGGTGGAAAACCTGGTTTTCAGCACAATGTTGTTTGGACTGGCAACCACTTCCATGGCTTTGGAGAAGTCAATATTTGATCTATGGATTCCATTTGTTGTCAACAAGTTGCCTTGAACAACCCGAGGTGGAGAAAGAACTTCCCATGATTGTAATTGCTCGTCGTTAACCTTGTAAAAGCGTCTTGAGATCAATAGAAAAACAATTGCAACCAGCCCTACAGCAAGAACAGCTGCTGCAACTGTAACGACAATTGTAACAGCAATTGATTTTCTCTTTTTAATTGACACTGGAGAATTATTTGATTCATAACGAAGCCCTGGATTCCCACTTATATTGATAGAAACATGTTTACTGAAATTAGGAACAACTCCAGATAGCTGATTATTGGAAAGTATTAGCTGTGTCAGTGAGGACAATTCAACCAGGAAAGCAGGAACTTCACCTGAGAATTTGTTGTTAGAGAGATCCAAAACTTCCAAATTCATCAGTCCAGAAAGAACCTTTGGAATAGATCCTTCAAAGAGGTTGCTGCTGAGATTCAAACAAATTTGCAACTTTTGTGGCATGAAGGGAATCGTACCATTCAATTTATTTTCTCCGAGCTGGAGTTCTACCAGAGAATCCAAGTTACCGATATTATCTGGTATAGAACCAATGAGATTGTTGCCTTGCAAGTTCAGGTTAAGAAGCTTTCCACAATTTGAAATTGAAGAAGGTATGATGCCATTTAATGAATTCCAGCTGATATTAAGTATGGTTAGCATATTTAGTCGTCCAATCTGACTTGGGATTTCACCATCAAGCTTGTTGAGTTGCAGTTTCAGAACCTGAAGATTTGTAAGATCACCTAACTCCACTGGCAATGTTCCATTAAGCTGATTCTGAGCCAAGTTTAACAATGCCAATTTTGAGCAAGAACCAATTTCAGGAGGTATCATTCCAGTAAATTTGTTGTTATCTAACTCCAAATACATCAAATTCTGAAACGATGCAAATCTTGCAGAAGAGATTGGACCACTGAGCAAATTGCTTCCCAACCTCAACCTGACCAAACTTGGAGATATGCTTTCGGGTATTGGTCCATCCAACTTGTTATAAGACAAATCCACAGTCATCAAGTTTGGTTTCAACAGAAACTTCGATGGAATTCTCCCATTAATTTCATTATAACTAAGATCCAAAATCTTGAGAGAATTTGTGATATTAATAGGAATTGTACCATCTAACCGGTTTTGATTGGCTGAGAACCGCAGGAGTGTTGTTATACGTAAAAGGCCTGCAGGAATTGGCCCGCTCAAGTGATTGGAAGATAGAATAAGGGTTTGCAACCTGGTAAGGTTCCCAATAGATTCAGGAATCGTTCCAGTAAGTTTATTCCCACTAAGATCAATCTGGATCAAATTCTCATACATCCCAATATCTCTAGGAATCATACCTGTGAAGTTATTCACAGAAAGCTCCAGTCGTTCCAAAACCTTGGATTTTCCAAGGCGGCTAGGAACAGAACCGCTGAAATGATTGAAAGAAAGGTTCAAACTTTTCAGTGCACTCAAATCATCCAACTGGGAATCAATATTTCCACTCAAAGCATTGAAAGATAAATCCAAGGATTCCAATCCAACAAAGTTTTGAAAAACAGGCAAAGAACCATACAACATGTTCATGCTAAAGTTCAAGCTTTTTAACCCATCAATCCCACCACAACTACTGAAGAACTGAACTGGGATTGACGTAAAAAAGTTGATGGAAAAGTCAAGAGACTTTAAAGAATCAATCTGGCAAAGCAAGGGTAGAAATCCAGAGTTAGAGAGACCAAACCCGGATAAAGAAAGAGAGAGTATGGAGTTGTTGTGGGGGCTGCTGCATGTAACTCCTTTCCAAAGGCAGGGGTTTCGCTCCCTTGAAGCATCCCAGGGTGAATTTGCGATGTCTAACTGCTGAGAAACACTGATCATTATGGTCGTCTGGTTTGAAGCTGGCTGACAGAAGACCAAAGGAAGAACACAGAAGAAGAAATATATGATGTAAACGCAACTCCCCATTTTAGCTGTTGTTCCCATAAGTTTATGGAAGTGTACAAATACTTGTCTGGTTTGAAGTGGGGAGGAGAGGGGACAGAAGAGAAAGGAAATGAGCAGAACAAAGCAGAGAATAAAATGAGATAAAGAGAATGAAAAGGAAGAGATAGAGATGTTGGTGGGGAGGGGCGATTTTCTATGTGGAAATTCATGGGAAAGAGGTAAGAAAGAAAGATGTTGGGCGTGTTGGGAGTGGAGTTGACTGCAAACAGAGAGGAATTGGACCGACTGACAATGGCATTTTTTGGGGGGTTAGATTTCATTTCGTTGTGACTTCGTTTATGACTTTTGACTCACGCACTCGCTCTGACATTGGTCTTTCCATCAACTTGTGGAATAACAATGGTAGCAGAGACATGAATTGTTTAATAGTAAATGATAAAAAAAAGAGACTACTGGCTGATTTCAGATGGTGAATCATGAGTGGAACGAAGACAATTCAAAGTCATTGTGTGGGTGGGCGGTCCCCTGGGGAAGGCGAGGAGAGCAGAGCCCACCTATGAATGCTACAGCCTGAGTCTTAGAAAACGCGTTTTAACACTATCGCTTTTGGAGTCTCTCTTACGGTGTAGACTAAAATTTTGGCCCTTTTTGTCAAAATGTAATTTTTATATTTTCATTCTCAAATGTCAACTTACAAATGTAAATGAAATATTAATATTCATAAATTATATAAATTTAATTAAAATAAAATTTAAATTTAATTTAATATTATTAAATTAAATTAAAATAATTTAATTTATCAAATAAATTAATTTAAGTATTTTAATATTTGATTCAAATAATTCACGAATTTAATAAAATTTTTAATTTTTAATATATTTTAATTATTTTAATTATAAATCTATTATTTTACCTTTATATATCAATTTGAGTTCAAACTCAAATTCAAATACATAATTTAACTTGAAATCGAATATAAAAATCGAACTTATTTTTATTAAATAAATTTAATTGAATGAGTTCGAATAGTTCAATGTTATCTCGAATTGAGCTCGAATTTGAAAATTAAAACTCGATTGAACTTAAATCGAATTTTAAGTAATAAATTTTAAGTCGAGTTTAAACTTTAGTTTCTAACTGTATTGATAGGGCTCAACTTGATTACATTTTTATACCAATTATTAGTCAATTGTTAGTTTATAAAAAAGAAAAAAAATAATTATTTTTAAATAATTGAAAAAAAAATGTTAACAAGTAATGATGAAAATCTTTTTTATTAAAATATATCAACTCAACAAAATAAATTAGGTATAATTTTTTAGTTTTATATTTTTCTCTTCTAATTTAATTAGAATAATAATTTAATTTATATTTATATTTTTATTTCAAAATTATGAGCATTTAATTGTTAATAAATTAATCTTAAGGAATTTCTTTTTTTTTATTTTTTATAATTATGGATATCTTTTTTATTTGTTTATAAGTTGATAAATTTGAATAAAAAATATTTTTAACATTATTAAATTAGAAAAATGTTTTAATCATTATATAATTACTTTTTAAATATTTTAATTTTAATTATTTAAAAATAATTATATCTTTTCACGTTTGTTGACAAGTAGTTGATTGTTGATTAAGCGTGGATTTGGATGCAACTGCATCACCAGTAAAGTACAGTTAAATTTCAAAAATCATCAGTGAAATTCAAATGAGAAATTAGTAAGGTGCGTTTGATCAAACGTAGCACAAAATTTTCACTGAAATTTTCAAGTCCAATGAATTTTTTTTAATTACAATTATAATAATTTTTATTAATATTTTTAATCTTATTGAAATTAATTTCATCATCTATCAAATTGACTCTAACAATGGTCAAAGGCTCAAAACATGTATTTTAAAACAAGATGAGCCAAAGCATATTTTAGTAGTTTATTAAGGGGTATTTTTTGGATTTTATTCAGACCATTTTGAAAAAAATACTATTTATCATTATATTTGTACGAGTGATTCAAATTTATTGTTGATCTTCTGATTTATACAATTTTATTATTATGCTTTTAATTTTGAAATAAATTTCATAATTCTAGTTTTAAATAATTAGAAAAGCAATTTTTACAATTAAAAAATAATTTTGAAAAATAACATGGTATGAAAAATACAGTTATGAATTTAAAATCCAAAATTTTTTTGTTTCATTTCTTTTTCGTTTTTTATCATGAAATTTTTTTAAATAAAATATAATGCCACTCTTTTTGAGATTTTTTTATCATATTTTTTGGCACTAAATGTTCAAAACTTAAGGAGAAATTAGAAATAAGAAATTTGAAATTATTGGTTATAAATCTGGATTAGATTTTTTTTTATTTTCACTTTTAATTTGTAGGCAGTATATTAAATGTTGTTCATGGATAAGATTAAATCAAATAAAGTCTAATAGATTTTTTTAATCTTTTGCTCAAGGTTTAACTCCGCTTTCGACCTAAAATCCATGAATTTTTTTAAAAAATATTAAAATATTATAAATATTAATATTTTAATATATTTTAAAATAAAAATTAAATAAAAATATTTTTTAATTAAATGATAATTTGAACCGAACTTACTAGAGTTGGGCCAGCCCAACCTGCCTGGTCCATGGACAAGTTTACTGTACAACCTTGTATGCAGTTATCTCTTTCTTTTGTTGTAAGGGAAAATATATTATACCTTGGATGTTGTTATAAATAGAGCATGTTGTTAATACTCTCAATCATAAGATTAAAAAAAAATTATCTTTCCTCTTTTAAATCTATCATCTTTACCAAACATAGCATTAAAAATTTAAATAATAAATTAAAACAAATTAATAAAATCAATATAAAATTAAATCAAAGTAACCTACATATGATATGGAACTCAAATATGGGACCTAAAGGTATTATAGGACCTTTTCCTTAGGCTTTATGGGACTATATATTCCTTATATTGAAGCTTTCTTTTTTTCAAACTCAAATTTGACATTAATAGCTTATTTTTATGTTTCTAACTAAAATAAAAATTTAAGCAAATGAGTCATAATCTCATGGATTTATCTCATGAATCTTCAAGTGAATTAACCACAATCATAAAATTTTAATTGAAATCATATTTACTGGTAAAAAATTAGATTTATCCAATTAAGCAAATATTTTTTAAAAAATCTTATTATAAAGTTTAAAAATTCTAATTAAAATCAAATTTGTTATAAATATTAAATTAAAATAAATATTAAATTAAAATATTTAAAACAAAATCTATCTATTTATTTTAATTGAAAGTAGCTTTTTTAATTGATTCAAATCCCACTCTTTTAGTTCACACTCTTCCTAGGAGATCACCATAACATGAAAGATTGAATTTTTTAAATTTTAATTAGAAGTGTAATTGAGTTCAATCAAGTCAATATAACAAAAATTTCAAAATTAAAAATTTAATCAAATTTGAATTTTATTTCAGTTGGACTTGCGTTATTTGAGAGCATTGATACGTCATTTACACCTTTAACTTCAACTTTAACCTCTTTAATTTTTTAAGGGCCACTGACATAAGGTTGCCTTTAACAGGGATTTTCCAGCACTGACAAGCTTGATGAGTGCTGCACAGGGGTACGAGACCTCAGAAGCTAAGTACTATACATACGACTGTGGATAAGTTGAAAGCCATGGGTCATTTATCAGAACTTTGTCCAATTTCCTTGCTAAATAACTTTCAGGCTGATGGTTGAACCAAGTAAATTAAGGTCCTACATAAGCATGATCAAACACGGCTACTTAAGTCAAGCAGTTCTGAAATTATTTCATATCAGAATTTAGAGTTTAAGTGCCATTGTAATCGAGCTTTTCGGCAGGGTGAACTATGACATTGAAATCTCCAGCTAATATCTGAGGGTTGTCCACTACAGCACCATTGAGACGAGACAAATGGTTGAGAAATAGAATTTTCTGGATTCATATGCATAATACAACATGAGATACTTTGATCAGAAAGCTCCAGCAAATCAAGTTGGACATGATCTCTCCATAGCATCTAGATCTTCCAAACCCCAAAACCTTACTTTTAACTATTCTTACAGAAAATTATATATTATAAATTTCAAAACAGACTATAGTGCTAAAAAAACTAAAGCTGCAAGTTTAACTAAGCTGAAGAGCATGAGGGGAAATATATAAATATCCAAGGGTAAAATATTATTTAAAAATTTACTATTATTATTAAAAAATTGTAATGAATTAAAATTTTCAATAAAATATACACAAAATAATAAAAATTTGAAGATATTAAAATAATAAAAATATTTTACTCACAAAGATACGATTGAACCACAAAAACACCGGCAAATCATTCGAATCTAAAAGCTTTTTCTTTTATTGAGATTATGGTGGAACACTGGTTTTATGCCAAAAGTCCGTTGCCACCTTTAATCCCAAACAAGGCTTAGGTAGGCTGAGTTATATGTCACGAGTCGAGACTTATTGTTCATTCACTCTAATCTCACGGTTTTGTCTTACAAAAGATACCTTACAAGAAAGACGTGGTGTGAACCCTTTTATATCTCAATAACCTTCTTATTATGTTTGATGTGGGATTCAAGACTCTTCTTTAAATCCGTGACATGAACATAGATAAATCAAACTATCTCAATGAGAAAAAGCCCGAAGAAGAGCTGAAAAAATATTTAAAGATTTTAAGAAAAAAAAAATGGAGTCATGAAACGGAAAATCACTGGTTTTAAAAAACTGTCAGGGATGGGGATGCGATGCATGCGATCTCTTTCAAGTAGTTTCGCGTATAAGCCTGGAAGTCAACTCTAAAATGTGGTAAAGTAAGAGTGGAGAAAGACAAAAGGAGTGTAACATTTCCTCTATGAGATTCATATTTTGTTGAGATTCAGAGCTTTTTGTAGTTTCAAATGCACCTATCTTTAGCTTTTTTAACTCTTTTGGTTATACAAATTAGAAACTTGAGATCACAGGCCCTTGAAAGTGAGCTTGGACAACTGATGAAGGCATGCCAGGATGCATTAGGGGTATCCTGGCATTTGTGACTGCACCCCTTGAGATGCTTGAGTTTGGTATGGGTCAAAACCTTGTGGGTATAATGGATCATAAGTATTTTCATTTTGGGCAACAACCTGCCCAATCACTGCCTTTTCTTTGTTCAGATTTTTGAGTAATTCAGCTATGTGTTGTAATTACCTATTCGTATTTTTTTGTGCCTTTTTCATCTTTTGGATGTGAGGAGCTTGATCTTAGTTCTATAATTCTAGCTTGGTAGCGAGTATTGTATTATCTCAAATTATTCGAAAATTATCTTTGAATTTTTATTACCACAATTAGAGTATTATATTATGAATGAATATACATGAATGAGTATAATACAATATAATTTAAAATTTTAATTGTGGTGATATAAATGCATGAATATACCAAAATAAAGAAAGAAAAAATTACAATTATTAAATAAAAGGTAGGAGATATCTCTTTATGTGTAGTATTTTAGGATTTTATATAGAAAGGGAATAGTAAGGCTCTTACTTATGGTTGGATCTTAGGATTTATTTATATACAAGGTTTAAAGGTCTTCACAGTCTAAAAGTTTTTAAATTATTACTTACATTATTGTGTATTACAAATTAGTAAAACACCTAATTACTTATATATTATAAGCCCAAACGAAAATAGTTTAACTTAAGTGAGAATTTGTTGTTAATTCACACAAAGGTTATTAGCTCATAAGAGTGTAGGTACTTGCTTCCTCCAAACGAAGAGCAAAACTCAGGTTTAGAATTTATGCATAAATGTGCACGTGTAGTGTGTGTGAAGAAATATACCAACCCTTTTATTCACAAATCAAATCAAATGCTATACAATGAAAAACAAAACAAAAAAAATATATCAATACCCATGAAAAATGCTATACAAAAATACAAAGAAAACAAATAGATTAGTATATGTGAAAAAAAATCATAAATAATCACATAAAGAAATAATATAAATCATTAAATTAAAGCTTAAGATAATATGTGACTAACAACTGGCTTGACTTTCTAATATTCTCAATAGAATTATCAAATTGTCATAAAATTTAAGTCTAATAACTTAATTATTAGACACAAATATGGAGTCACTAGCAATATTTTTTATCTAGTGTAATTAGTCACCTATATGATCTATTATTTTTAAGGTTATCATAAATTTCATTAAAAATTCCTAAAAAAAATATGTTTTGATCTACATTAACAATTTATATTTGAAAGTTAGTTACATATAAAGAAAGTTTTCACACCATCACAACATCCAAAATTGATACCAAATTACTCTTATATTATCTTATCTAAGCTTCAATTAAAATGGTCTTTATTACTTATTTTTATTAATTTCCATATTTTAAATATTAAAAAAAGTGTTTAGGTTTTCACCAAAAAGAAAAATTTTTACCTCAAAAGTACTTAAAATAAACTTATCATTTATTTTGAAAGGTTCCGTTATCAGATTTATTAAATATCTTATGATAAAAAAATTAATAATTTTTTTATTTATTTACAAAATAATTTCATACAAAAAATATTATAAAATATCATAAAAATAATATTATAAAAATATCATGCAAAAAATATCATAAAATATTCATAAAAATATCATGCAATAATATTATAATAAAATCCATTCAAAAAATCATGTAATAACAAAAAATACAAAAATATTATGCAATAAAAAAATGCAAAAATAAATAATAAAAATCACAACATAAAAAAAATCATATCAAAATTTTCTCATTTGTTTTGGTTTTTTCTTTATTTTCCTTTTTTCATTATTAATCCAAAATTAACAGAATAAATATAACTAAAAAAAGAATTTAAAAGACAAAACAAAAAATTAAAAAAAAATATATATAAAAAAAACCTCAAAGCAAGTTGAGAAACAGATTAACCTTTTTAACAGTATTTTAGTCTGGACCGCAACGAAGACTCCAAAAGCAAAAGAGTTGAACCGCGCTTTCGAATAGTCAGGCTGTAGCATTCAAAAGTGGGCTCTCCTCTCCTCTCTTTTCCCAGGGACCACCCACCCACACAATGACTTTGAATTGTCTTCTTTCCACTCATGATTCATCATCCGAATTCATTCAGTAGTTGTTTTTCTTTTCCTCATTTACCATTACACAATCCATTTCTCTGCTATTATTATTATTCTTTTTTTTTTGTTACATAAAAAAAAAAAATTGATTCGAAATCATATTTTTTATATTCCCTTAAATATCTTTAACTACTGAGCTAAAATCTCGAGACATATTATTTACAAGTCAATGAAAACACCAATGTGAGTGAGTCAAAAGTCATAAGCAAAGCAACGTAGAAATGAAATCTAGCCCCCCCCAAAAAAGCCATTGTCAGTCGGTCCATTTCTATGTTGTTTGCCAAAAATCTTTCTTTCTTACCCTATTTCCCATGAATTTCCACATAGAAAAATCGCCCCTCCTCACCAACATCTCTATCTCTTCCTTTTCATTCTCTCTATCTCATTTTATTCTTTGCTCTGTTATGCTCATTTCCTTTCTTTTTCTGTCCCCTCTCCTCCCCATCTCAAACCAGACAAGTATTTGTACACTTCCATAAACTTATAGGTACAACAGCTAAAATGGGGAGTTGCGTTTACAACATATGTTTCTTCTTCTGTATACTTCCTTTGGTCTTCTGTCAGCCAGCTTCAAACCAGACGACCATAATGATCAGTGTTTCTCAGCAGTTGGACATCGCAAATTCACCCTGGGATGCTTCAAGGGAGCGAAACCCCTGCCTTTGGAAAGGAGTTACATGCAGCAGCCCCCACAACAACTCCATACTCTCTCTTTCTTTATCCGGGTTTGGTCTCTCTAACTCTGGATTTCTACCCTTGCTTTGCCAGATTGATTCTTTAAAGTCTCTTGACTTTTCCATCAACTTTTTGACGTCAATCCCAGTTCAGTTCTTCAATAGTTGTGGTGGGATTGATGGGTTAAAAAGCTTGAACTTTAGCATGAACATGTTGGATGGTTCTTTGCCTGTTTTTCGAAACTTTGTTGGATTGGAATCCTTGGATTTATCTTTCAATGCTTTGAGTGGAAATATTGATTCCCAGTTGCATGATTTGAGTGCACTGAAAAGTTTGAACTTTCTTTCAATCATTTCAGCGGTTCTGTTCCTAGCCGCCTTGGAAAATCCAAGGTTTTGGAACGACTGGAGCTTTCTGTGAATAACTTCACAGGTATGATTCCTAGAGATATTGGGACGTATGGGAATTCGATCCTGATTGATCTTAGTGGGAATAGACTTACTGGAAGTATTCCTGAATCTATCGGGAACCTTACCAGTTTGCAAACCCTTATTCTATCTTCCAATCAGTTGAGTGGGCCAATTCCTGCAGGCCTTTTACATGTAACAACACTGCAGCTGTTCTCAGCCAATGAAAACAAGTTAGGTGGTACAATTCCTAGTAATATCACAAATTCACTCAAGATTTTAGATCTTAGTTATAATGAAATTACTGGCAGAATTCCATCGGAGTTTCTGTCGGCTTCAAAGTTGCAGACTGTGGATTTGTTTTATAACATGTTGGATGGACCAATACCTGAAAGCATATCTTCAAGTTTGGTCAGATTGAGGTTGGGAAGTAATTTTCTCAGTGGTCCAATCTCTTCTGCAAGATTTGGATCGTTTCAGAATTTGAGGAATTTGGAGTTAGATAACAACAACTTTACTGGAATGATACCTCCTGAAATTGGTTCTTGCCCAAAATTGGTATTGTTGAACTTGGCTCAGAATCAGCTTAATGGAACATTGCCAGTGGAGTTAGGTAATCTTACAAATCTTCAGGTTCTGAAACTGCAACTCAACAAGCTTGATGGTGAAATCCCAAGTCAGATTGGACGACTAAATATGCTAACCATACTTAATATCAGCTGGAATTCATTAAATGGCATCATACCTTCTTCAATTTCAAATTGTGGAAAGCTTCTTATCCTGAACTTGCAAGGCAACAATCTCATTGGTTCTATACCAGATAATATCGGTAACTTGGATTCTCTGGTAGAACTCCAGCTCGGAGAAAATAAATTGAATGGTAGGATTTCCTTCATGCCACAAAAGTTGCAAATTTGTTTGAATCTCAGCAGCAATCTCTTTGAAGGATCTATTCCAAAGGCTCTTTCTGGACTGATGAATTTGGAAGTTTTGGATCTCTCTAACAACAAATTCTCAGGTGAAGTTCCTAATTTCCTGGTTGAATTGCCCTCACTGACACAGCTAATACTTTCCAATAATCAGCTATCTGGAGTTGTTCCTAATTTCGGTAAACATGTTTCTATCAATAAAAGTGGGAATCCAGGGCTTCGTTCTGAATCAAATAATTCTCCAGAACCAGAATTGCCTCCAAAGAAAGACTCGATTGCTCTAATAATTGGAGTGGGAATTGCAGCGTTGTTTTACTTCTTCTTTTTCTCATTTCTTTTTTTCCACTTGCTCTTCCAGCCTCAACAAAAGCCAAACCAGAGAGAAACACAAAGAAATCGCAACACCAAATGAGCGGAAAGTTTAAGCATGTATTTCTTATTCTTCTTTTAATTAATTAAGTTAATTATGTTAGAATATAATTTTGTTATAGTATGATTAATCAAATAAGAAAACAATATTTATTGAAGTTATCTTTAATTAGCAAATTGCAAAGTTTTTAAATAAAATGATTTTTTACACAAAATATCTTTTTGGTGTTTACATAACATCTTGAAAAGCTAACGGTACAAAGTTTTGCTCCAAAAAATTCATCAACAAAATCCACACACACTTCATACATATTTTTTCTTTTAAGATATACGATTCATGTTTTATAATTGAAATATGATATACATGGTAACATATGCACGTTATATTTTAAGAATCAAGAAATTGTACCTTTGAAAAATAAGAAATATATAGGAAAAAAAAGCTTCAAAAAAACAAAAGAAAAGAAGAGTAAGGTCAGGTGATCTGATGAAGCCTATGTTTTAATTATAAAAACAGTGTTTGACCCGCTTCATGTGGAATTAATTTTTATACAACAATAAATTATAAAAATATAAAATTAAAGATTATAATGCAATTAATTATAATTGATATTTGAGATTTAAATGAATTTTATATTTTAACGAGTTCAAAAAAAAAGTTTGTATCTTATATCTGAAAAAATTATGATGGATATCAAATTTAATTCATTTAGATTGTGTTGATATCTATCGTTTAATATAATTTTTTTCTACCATGTAATCATCATAATAATTTTCTTTTAATTCAATATCTAAAATTAAAAAAAAAATCCACTTAAATCAATCCATATTACTCTTTAATATTTTAACTTTTACCAAACTATTTATCAAGACTAGCATTGTGCCCGCGCTATGCTGCGGGTACATTTTTCTTGTTTAAGTAGTAAAAACAAATTTAACAGTATAGTCAAGAAGATCAAATATATAATTAATTATAGAAAAAACAGAAAAGATAATAATATCTGTGCAATGTTTGCAAAAAAAATAAAGGTTTACTTAGACTCCCATAAACAAAGAGCTAGAGATATCTCCATGTTTTCAGTACATAAATAGCGCAAACCAACTCCAATACAAAATCTCACATAAACAAAAATTTAGAGATATCCCTAATTGTGTTTCAGCAAATAAAAGGCGTAAACCAATTCTCGTGCGAAAACTCCCTCTATTTATTTTTCTCCGATCACCATTGGACCAACATGATATTAAATAGAACATGTAAAACAATCATGAAAAAATTGATAACAATATCAAATTGGAAGTTTTAAACCACAAACATAGTTATCTAAAAATCGATATATATTTGCTACTTCATTACATGCCAAGCATGAAATAAAAATAATTTTTATCCTACCATTTGCATCACTATGCCTATTAAACACAACTAAATTACATTTAAAAGTATTGCAAACAAAACACTCATCCGATAGGAATGAAATTATATGGAAATCTAGTACCACTCACGTATCAGAAGATATGGTCAAACAGTGGGAAAAAAAAGGTAAGAAACCTATTCCTAGGGTTTATTGAATCTCATTGGCTAAGAAGGGAATATTTTTATAGTAGCACAGGTCTGCCCGTTGTGAATAAAGTTGTAGAGAATCACTCAAAATAAAGTCTAGAAAGATTTTTCAACAATATATTAAAGCCAAAGAAGTCGAAGCAACCTAATAATTTGCTTCCCTCTTTTTTTTTTCTTTTGTACTTAGTAAAATCATGCTAAGCAGAACATATTTTTACGTTTGTAGCCTCGTCCCATTCAGTTATCTTACCGAAGTATCATTACTATATAAAAAATGGTAACCCCTCCCCCTCTATTTTTCCCTTCTAGACATATTCAAACCTTTTTATTTTCTTTTTCTTTGAGCTGTAGGAGAGTTGGTTAAGATTAGCTAACATAAAAAAAATAAGTGAATGATAGGGGAAGCTTTCATTCTGCATGCTATTTCAAAAAGAAGGTAAGAAAAGTAACACTTAAGATGAATTTAATTGTCGGTCATGATTATGAGTGTGTGTGGGTGAGAGAAAGACATCGATTGCAAAATAAATTTGATATGACCCATATCCCACATAAAATTCAAAATACTTTAATTAATAAATGCCACTATGAAATATTAAAACTTAAACCCGAGTGCAACAATAGGCTTGGTAACACTTTTTATTAAAAATGTATCATGGTAAAGCCAAGTTCGATCAATTGACTTTGTTTAAATCTTATAAGGTGTATTATTCAAATTAATAAGATTTTCAAACGTTTCTAAACATAGGCATAGTTTTCTACATTATGGCTTATATATTATGCATAGTAATTAAAGTCTCATGATTTACCTCATAAACAACTCAAATGTAGTGGTCAGTATGCTTAAATCATAATTGAACTACTGCAATTTCCTACAGCATTGGCCTCAAACTGAGAGATCCTCTTGGACTAAAATAGTTTAAAATTCACTGTTAATACCAACAATTGAATGGAACAGCATATGAGGTTTGTTCTTCCCACCATTTATAGACAATTTGTCAACGTATTCTCTGAAGTATTCCTATTAGACAAAGATTTCTCTTTACAACTATCATATATATCCTAACATCTTATTCAATTTCCCAAATGGCTACATAAATAAGCAAGAGTACATTTAACTTTAAAAACAAAGTAAATACACAATCAGGGCTAGCTCATATCAAAATTTATATGAGTAGAATAATAAGTAAAATCATAAAATATATTAAAAATAAAATCTTGATTGTGTATGGAATATATATATATATATATATATATATACAGTATTAAAAGTACACTACACGCATCGATTAATCTAGGTATGGAATAGCTTTCAATTGAATATATAGTGTATAAATTAGTAATCCTACTTGATTTTGTATGGAAGATATATAGTGTATTAAAAGCAAACTACAAGATCTGATTAATCTAGTTATGGAATATATATTCTTTCAATTGAACATATAGTGTATAAATTAATAAGCCCCACAATCTTGGTGCTTTTAACATAATATACTTTTAATTTGTGGTTTCTTATACCAAAAAAATCAATTAGTAGGCAAATACCTATTAATAAGCATGTACATAATCAAAACCAAGTTAAACAAAAATTAGCAAGCACATGTCGAAATTTGTGTTAATACCTGAACAAAAAATAAAGCAACAATCAAAGTACATGCTTTAAGAAGTAACAATCAAAGCAAGTAAGTTGCATACATAATAGTAGAAAGGTAAGAAAAAAGGTCAAGAAGACTAGTTAAGTGCAAAAAGGAAAATAAAATGCACCTTCATCCATGTGTTTAAGTAAACCTGAAAAAATTGCATATTTTGACTTTTTTACCACTAATGTGATCAATGTAAGTAAATGAGCTTACATGTAGTAATGTTAACAGATAAATAAAGTAAGTTGCATATATCAATAATAAAAAAATGTAAGTAAAAAAATAAAGAAAAGCAATTAAATTAATCAATTTATATATATAAAACAATCATAAAACAGACAAATGTAAGTCATTTTCATGTTTTGCTACATTTATCCCATTTTCAGACATGTAAAACTATTAATTACCAATCATTTTTAAATTAAAACATTTTCATATGATATAATTACAATAGAGATTGTTCTGAAAACATAAGTTTCTTATTCAAAAATAAGAAATCTCATAAAACATTAAACCGTGCTTCAAATTTCATTGATAGAATTTTGATAGAAAATGATAAATAGAATTTAAGGGCTCAAACCTTTTTTTTTTTTTTTACCTAACCATAGCCAATCATTCCACTCATGCAATCATCAATCCTAATTAGATCAACCTTCAAACTTTAAATTACAAAAAAAAAAAAAATGAGAATAAGCTAAAGTAATCTTAAGATTCACCAATAAACATTGAGGGAGTGATTTCCTTTATTAGGAAAATGTGATATTATGAACTCCTAAATATTGTAACCAATAATTTGTCCATTTTGCTCAACCAAACTTATCTATCATCACTACTTAAATAGGTTGAGAATTGACACTTTCTAGTACAATACATAAATAAAGGTTACAATGTAGAGAGTTTTAATGTGATTTCAAGTCATGGACTTATTTAAGTTTGTCAATTGATTTTTAAAAAGTTGAGTCTGCTTAATCATTTGAGAAAATCGAAATTGTAAGGTTTAAACTTAGCTATATACTTTTGTGGTAATGGTTTTAGGACCACTAGATGAATTTAAAAACAAATGGAGTTGCCAGCAATTTTTTTGGCTAGGTGCAATTAGTCACCAATTAAAACTTACATTTTCAATAAAATCTTAAAATTAATTAAATTTATTAAAAATATAGTTTTAGGATTTGTGAAACAGATTGGGTTTTGGAGTCAATTATGCGTAGGAAAAAATTAGCACATCCATAGCACCTGTTTAAAATAGTATCAATTAATTAGCACCCCTACAACAGCTGTTTAAAATGGTACCAATTAATTACGTATTATCCTTTGAATTTTGACAAAAATTGGTCATAAGTTTGATATTTATAAATAATTTCCTTGATTTATTTTATTCATTACAATTTTAGCTTTTTTTTTTATTCGAGAAAATAAATTAAAACCTTGTTATAGAAAATTTTCAAAAATATTTTAATACGCTAGTAATATTTGAAGGAAATTTATCACCTAAAGATTTTTTAAAACTCACTACTTGGACATATTAAGAATCCCATCCAATGAGACTCTTGTTTATTTTTCACGAATGATAAACATGCAATGCAAATGACAAAATATTGATGCACATGTTTTATTTTTCCTTTAAAAATTTTTATTAGTATTTTATTACACACACTTTCTTTAGAAAAAAAAAAGAGAAATTTTTATACTATTGAAAATTTTTTTATAAATACTTCAATGCACTAGTAATATTTAAAAAAATCTTTTCACCTGTAGATTTCTTAGGTATCACTACTCAAAATACCTTGAAATCTCATTGTAAAATAAAATTTTCTTTTCCTTTATTTTTTATTTGTTTATTTTTATTTTATAGAACAAAAAAAATTTTTTAGTGCATTAAAAATATTTTATAAATACTTAAACACACTGGTAGTATTTAAAAAAATTTCTCATATCGAACTTTCTTAAACATCGCTACTCGGAATACCTTAAAATCTCACAATTGGATAAAATTTCTTTTTCTACAATTTTATTATTATTTTATTTGTCATTTTTTATTTTAT